GCGCACAGGTCGGGTTTGAATCGCGCCGCATTCATACCTAATTGGCCTGTTGAACCGCGTCCGGTGTACAAGTGGAGTGGCAGCACACATGTCGCAGACACAACGCTGTCCTTCCTATTTGGGGAGCGCTCAACGGCGCTTGCTTCGCGTTTGCTCTTGGGACGGCATGCCACCAGGTTTTGTTTTGTCACGCACAAGTTTTCAAAAACTGTTACCCACAGGGGAGATATCGCTGTGTGCTGCTCGAAAAAAGCGTAGTTACGGGTCTTCGCTGACGCCATGGCTTGATTGCTTATCTATCTTTCCCTGTTCTTAGAGATGAGATGGATTCGTTGGGTTATATTCATGAAAAACAAAACACCTGCACATAGTTTCTGGTGATTTTTTGCCGGTGTTCAGTCAGGGCGCAGGAAGCGGCGGTTATCCAAAAAGTCGTGAGCTTTGAGATTACATGCATAGCTACGTTTGCTTTGCCGTTTGTTTCCCATAAACAACAAAGAACGCCGCCTACTCCGACGCCCACTAAGAAACGTCACTCACGTGGTGGCTCGTACGTAGGGTCGCACTCGTGACTGATCGCCCTTTGTAAAAAAGGCCGGTAACGTCGCGTGACACAGATGGGATCATCAAATTCTGTAATAACTAGTGCCGGCTGGGTGCCCGGCATTCAAGGCCGGCCCAATTTTTTGGCACTACGTACGCGGCCTTGGGGCTACGGTTATGAAATCAGCACACTCAAATGTCATTGTAACAAGATGTACATACTGTTCAAGACAAAACCTACAAAAGCCAACCGTTCGAGATAATACCCAGCACGAAGGATGTGTTTTATAAGGAATTATTTACAACGAACAGGTAAAGGAACCTGCTGGATGCTGGGCTTACTGCTGTTTTGTGTTGACAAGCATCTTCGTTTCACGCGCACGTGTGTGTGAAATGACTCTTCGGGTCGGTCGGCACCCAGGGTCCGGTGTCAAACCCATCGCTCGTGAAGGACGGCAGCCAGCAAGACCCGGCCTCGTCCAAACAGCCCTGCAGCAAGTGGTGAGTCGAAAGCTCGCTACGGCCAAACACACACGCACGACGCGGCTTGGCGTGGCAACCAAACGCTCTTGGGGTGCTCATCGTGGTTGTCGTCCCCGTGGTGTTGTTGGAGAAGGTGTTACGCTTGGTTTTTCCCTCGCCGTTGTTGTTGTTGTCGTCGTTCTTTATTAAACATCAAAAACGGGCCCGATCTCCACTGAGCACGCCATACCTTGGTCCTTGCTCTCGCTGTCGCTTCTTTGTACTTGCTGCAATGGTGGTGTTGGTATTCTCACAGCTGCTGTTGCTGTGGCTATTATTGTGATGGGGTCGTAGGGCAGTGTTTTCCGGGAGCCGTTGTTTCTCCTGCATTTATTCTTGGCTTCGTGCAGAAGAACAAACACGACGTGTTTTTGTCCGCGGGGGGGTCCGCCTGTAATGCCGGGGCCTGGGAATACAGGAAATGGGTCCCGTTTACTTCTTCAGCACGGTCTGACGGCGCCACTTTCGAGCACTGGCAGAAAGAATCGGACGAAAAGGACAGCGGGGACTACGCTTACGCGAGGTGATGACCGCATTGCTCGTGGCGTTGCTATCTTATCTTGAGCGTTAGTCTCAAAAGCAGCCTGTGCTGCTGTATGGCACACTCACCAAACTTATTCCCGAGTTCACCCGCAGGTGGTGCTGTCGTCGTTTGGAACTAGCTAGACTGTTTCTTATTGATAGGCGAAGAAAATATACCATACCCGGCAACTGTGGACTGGACCCGTGGATCATTTGCGCAGGCTGACTGTGTGCGGGTCAGTCACTCAGTTCGTCACGTTTCTTTCTGCCGAGGGGTTCTGCGCGAGTAGTGATGATCCACACAAGATAGCACGCCCGATGATCAAAAACGTTCTTGGGGTTACAGTATCCTCGGCAGCCGTTTCAAGCTTGATCAGAGAGCGTTTTTCCGTGTTTAGGTCATGCTGATTCGAAAACATTTTTCCACATCGGGTTCAATAGATGTTTTGTAGGGGGGTGGCATGTTCCGAGTGATGCGGTAGCACGGCGAGGGAAGCGCCGACTGTACATGTTCTGGTGTGCTTTCCCTGGTATATCGTGTTGTTGGTCGCATGATGAAAGATACTACGCTCCATGGAC